TCTCTCTCTCTCTCTCTCTCTCTCTCTCTCTCTCTCTCTCTCTCTCTGTGTGTGTGTGTGTGCTATTAGATCAAGTGTAGGGATTCAAATAGAGAGAGAAGGCCATATTGTCAGGGTCCAGTGCGTCTCTGATCAGTCTTATCTTCCAGTTGTGTCACGCCATCCGCCTGTTGCTGGAATACACAGACTCAAGCTATGAGGAGAAGCGATACACCATGGGGGACGGTAATGATACCCTCTCAGTCAGACTCTTCCCCAGCTTCTGACTAGGGGTCCTCAGGAGCCCCTGTGCCTAGCTCCCTGTTGCCCAGATCTGTGGGGGCTCCTCCAGGTAGATCGAGCTAGAATCTCCACCTTCAGGAACCCCCTGTGAAGACGGTTTGGCCCTCCTATACAGCCTCTGGCTTTCCCTCTGTAATTTAGCCTTGGCCTAAACCTTTTGTACCTTTAGAGCTGGAGGGCCCATAGTCCCAAGCACTCTTCGTTCCTGCAGCACGAGACTCATTGTGTGAGGTTTCAGATTCCCTGCTTGGGCTTGGGGGTGGGGATAGGGGTGCGATGGGGAGGGCTTGCCTGCCTCCTTGCTCAGGTCCTTGTAGGAGGGTGGGAACTGGGGCGATTTCTTTTCACAACCTCTTGTCCATCACAGCTCCTGACTATGACCAAAGCCAGTGGCTGAGTGAGAAATTCAAGCTGGGCCTGGACTTTCCCAATGTAAGCGCAGGGAAGGGGAGGTTTGGGGAAGGTGCGGTGTTCTTAGCTCATCTCCTTGCCTGGGTGAGGGGTTTCTGCTCTTCCGGTGCACTGGGTTCATGGAGGGTTTCCCATGCCAGGCATACTGGGTGCCAGGCCCAATGTCTGTTCTCACCCAGGGAAGGAATGTTGGGATCTCATATCCTCTCTGACTGTTCCTTCTTGTCCATCCAGCTGCCCTACTTAATTGATGGGTCACACAAGATCACTCAGAGCAACGCCATCCTGCGCTACCTTGCTCGCAAGCACAACCTGTGTGAGTGAGGTTGCCTGTGGGGAGGGGGATGGTGGTCATCTCCTGGGCTTGGCTGGGGTGGGAGGCTAAGGGTGAGTCTGTGCTGTGTGTGCTGCAGGTGGGGAAACAGAGGAGGAGAGGATCCGTGTGGACATTTTGGAGAACCAGGCCATGGACACCCGCCTGCAGTTGGCCGTGGTTTGCTACAGCCCTGACTTTGTGAGTCCTCCAGTGGATGGAGAAGACAGTGTTCAGAGTTAAAATCTTAGGTTCACATCTATATTGGTCAAGTCTACGTTTGACTCTTGCATTACTGATCCTATAAGGACTTACTTATCCCGGGAACCAAGTGGCCTTAATGACTCCAGAATCTCACCAAATAACCATTGTGAGTCATTTTTCACCACTTCTTTGGGTACAGTTTGGATCCTCAGTTTTAAACATTAGGGTATGTATTCCGAGACCTCCTCATCCCTGACCTTTCACCTCCACAGGCCCTCTGTCTCCAGAACTTTAGTTTTCCTGCCTTCAGTAGCAGCAGGAATCAGGACCACTTCCCAACAGGCAGCTCAAGGTTGGCCAGAAGGTCACTGTCCCTGACCCTCTTCACTTTCAACATCAAATGCACCTTCACTTTATAAAAAGTACTAGAATTTTCCTGTTCTGCCAGCCGGTAGGAAGAGCTTTCCCTCCCTCCTGAGATGTCTTAGTATTTTGTTTCTCTTTGATTGCACCAGCCATCTGATTCCAGAGTGTGACGGGTCCATAGGCACCTCCGAGTCTGGCCCACAGGATCTGATTTGGGCAATAAGAGAAGTTCAAAAATAGTGTTGTCTTCTTGTCTAATGTCTCATCACCTCCAACAAATGAGACCTGGTGCCTGTAGAAGTCAAATAGGTTGCAACAAATTAACCTAAAATCTGGAAACTGATTCAAGCCCAGCCTTGAGAAGGGGACACTCGCCTCTGTATTCTTGTGAAATCAGACGGCCAGAGACTGTGTCAGAGGGTGGTGACGGCTTGTTGTTGTTTTTCCCTAACTCAGGAGAAACGGAAGCCAGAGTGCTTAGAGGGTCTCCCTGAGAAGATGAAGCTCTACTCTGAATTCCTGGGCAAGCGGCCATGGTTTGCAGGGGACAAGGTAAAGAGAGGGAGGCGGGGAGGAGAAGTTGCAGTCCTTCCCAGGTGTCAAATTCCAGTGCACTCATCCTTGGCTTCCTGCAGGTCACCTACGTGGATTTCCTTGCTTACGACATCCTTGACCAGCACCGTATATTTGAGCCCAAGTGCCTGGACGCCTTCCCAAACCTGAAAGACTTCCTGGCCCGCTTTGAGGTGATGCCCTGATCATGGTTGCTCTTAGGTGCCCTACTTCCCTTCCTTTTTCCCAGGATGCCTTTCTACTCCTTGGAATAGAAATGAAGAATCATTAGCCTTTGTTGAGCACTGGCTTTCTGTGAGGACCTGTGTTCAGCATCTTACCTTTATAGGGTCAAATTTATCACTCCAAGGTGCCTACAAGGTGGATAAAACTAGCAGAACCCTAAGATAAACTGAATCTGGAGGGTAAGTCACTTGCTCGAGGGCTCCACTCCCACCCATGGAGGCCTGTTTTGTGTGGGTCTCTGACTTCTAGGGGAAGCCCTGGAATGGCACTTACTGCTGAAAAGAAAAACGTCAGGCCTTTGTCCAGCCAGGGTTTCCTGGCGGCGACCCTTTTGAGCTGTGGAACCTGACAGCAGTGTGCAGCTGGCTTTAGGCATGAGGAAGGTAAAGGACCGCAGAGTCCATGTGAAGCATCTCAGCACAGTAAGTCTCCATAGCTGACCTGAAGAACACTTCCCTTCCCACATCCCCACTGCGGGAGCTCGGGCTGTAAAGGTGTTTGGAAAGAGTAGACACACGGAGCCCCTGTTGGGGGGTTATCCTTTTTATGTAGGAGACTTTTTTTTTTTCCTCCCTATCCCTCCCCCTCTCCTACCGGCTAATGTTTCAGTTTCCATCTGTGAGACGAGGCCATACGTTTATTTCAGCACCCGTTTGCTGACCTCTTTCAAGTGAGGCACGCTGTCAGGTTCCAGAGGACAGGTCCTGTACCCTCATCCTGGCACTCAGTATAGCGCACAGTGGTGGGTACACGAGACTGTGAAGTGTGAGGCCAGAGATCCAAGCTCGAACCTCCTGGTGACTCAAGTGGCATCCAGGCCCCTGAGTTTGACACCCCTTTAAAAACAAAATCTACTTTATTAGAAATTTCATAATTTGAAGCATTAACTTGTTTTGTTTTAAGCCTGGAATCTGTTTTTATCCCCTACTCCTTCTCGGCTAGTGCTCATTAGCTCTGCTTCTGGTCTAAGTTGAACAGCTTTTGGGAATTACACAAGAGCTGGCAATGCTGTGGGGAAAGAGGGAAGGGAGATATGAGAGTTGCAGCCTGAGGCTTGGCATTCTGGCTTGTTGCAAACTGGCTGTCCTGAATTTTAGAATTCCTCAGCAGTTAGTTAGCCGGGAACTTAATCTCGGGGAGAACTCCCACGGGCCGAGTGAATTTGGCACGGTACCTACATCAGAGCTACAGATGAGACTGATTGTAGTATCGTAACATTGGCCTACCATTGGGTACCAGGTAATGCGCACTTTCTGCTTTCTGGGAACGGATCAGAACCCTACCTACCCTGCCTTTCTGGAGGACCTCCCTCCCTCCTTAGATACTTCTGTTCAGGATTTGCTGAGTCATTAGGTGAAATCTGGGCTCTTTTTCAAGTGCGTTCTGCCAACTCCTTTCCCTGCCAGCTCCTTCCGCTATGTGTAAATACAGGCAGGAGCTTCCCCGTGAAAAAAGAGTATGACTGTGCAGACAATGGCAGGGCTGTGTGAGTAGGAGGAGGTTGCTTAACCTCATTGGACTGCTTGCAGGCCCATTGAGTGTTTGTTGTTTTTTTGCTTGGTTGGTTTTTGGTTTTTCAAGACAGGGTTTCTCTGTATAAGAGCCCTGGCTGTCCTGGAACTTGCTTTGTAGACCAGGCTGGCCTTGAACTCACAGAGATTTGCCTGCCTCTGCCTCCCTAGTGCTGGGATTAAAGGAGCCCAACCATTGAGTGTTTTTTCCCCTAACCTATGGTGTACTGTTTGGAGGAACCAAGCCCTCATTGTTATGATATATAAATTACACACTGTGCATCAGGGAAGTTTATTATGAGAAAGGCGAGACAGAGACAGTGAAAGAACTTACAAAAGAGAGGAGAATACAGAGTGGGGATGAATACAGACAGGATTAGAGGGACAGGCAGAGAGAGAGAGAGACAGTGGGAGAACATGGGAGAGGAGAGAAAGGGGGATAGGGTGACACTCTCCAGGAGAGAGAACTCAGAGAAAAGGAGAGAAACTGAGGCAGAGAGAGCATGCAGTGATAGGCCGGTCCTTTACATCTGGTGTGCACACACCTGGTGGTGGCAGGTGATGGCATCAGGTTGCTAAGCAACCTAGGAGCGTGTTAGTGCATTGACTTGTACTGTTTCTCCACTTGATGTTCTCCTTAAGGTGGGACTCTAGGAAAAGGAGTTTTCCAGAGCTGAGGTTGACCGCTCTGCTTTCCTCCAGATCTCGGGCCCACATGGAGTTCATGGGGTTTGGCTGGTCAGCCTAGTGGGCTGGGCTGAGCTTTGCTTTCTCCTTTCCACTTACAGGCCCTGGAGAAAATCTCTGCCTACATGAAGTCCAGCCGCTTCCTTTCAGGCCCCATATATTTGAAGAAGGCGCTGTGGGGTAACAAGTAGGATGCTTTAATACCAGGGCCAAGAGGAGATCTAGGCTCGGTGGTCATTGGCCTGGGGCACATCTGGGGCCCTGGACCACTGCATCAGTCTCCCCATTCCTTCCTTACTGAAAATTCTCTTTTGAAAAGCCCTAGCAACTCCTCTTTTCCACTCAGCCTCTCCCCACGCCAAACTTCTGTTCACTCTAGCTCCCCTTTCCTTCAGTCCCTTACTTCCTTTTCTTGTCTTTGCCCTGGATCCTAGTATCCATCAGGTTTGCTAGGGGTGCTGAAGGGATGCACCTGACTCTGGGGCTCCCAACACCGTCGGAGAAACCAGTCCTGCCTTCTATGCTGGAGCCCATCATCCTGCGAGGCTAGCCCGTGCTGCCAGAAAGACCAGTCCTCTAGTTTGCAGACCCTGGTCTCCGGTATGGGACTGTCCCCGCCATGTCTGATCCTTAATAAAGTCTGAACCACATTTGTTCTGTGTCTAGTTGTCTGTGCCTCTCAGGACAAACTGCGTCGACTTGCTTGGGTGGGCTTTGTTCTTTTATCCGCAGAAGGGACAGGGTTGTGTGTGTGTGTGTGTGGGGTCTTGATGGCCCCACAATGAGATCGCTTACAGTTTTTTTATATTCCTTGTCATTAATTTTGTGTAGGAGGGTGCTGCATCTGTGCTGAGTGTTGGAATTATTTTTTTTCTGTCCCTGCTCTAGCTCCCAAATAATGAGACAGAGAACTTTTAAATTTATTAATAAGTATCAGGCACCATGACTGGGCAGATATTGATCTATTCTAATTCGTCTATGCTAGTCTAACTACTTCCTAGCCACATGCCCTGTTCCCTGTCCTCCAGTTTCTCCCTGGCCACTCCTGCTCCATCTTTGTTACCATGGCAACTCCCCCATGGTGACCTCCTCCTCATGTCTTGGTGACCTTCCTCTTCTCTTTCTCTTCCTCTCCATCCCCCCATCTCTACTTGGGACCCCCAAACTGGAAATGGAAGTCCTTCCTACTATCTCTTCTGCCCAGTCATAGGCTCTTCAGCTACTTTATTAACCAATCAGAGATATTTGGGGAGTAATTGTTACACAACATTGAGACAGGAGATTCTTCAATAGCAACAACAATACCAGGATTTTTTAAGCATTTAATTCACTGCCCGTTCGGCAATTAACAACTGAATATATAGAAACACCTTAATATGATATGAGTGAAGGTCACATTTACATCTTCTCCTTTTAGTCCAAGAAATAGCTTTTTCTCTAATGTCAATAAACTATATACAATAAGAACAACTATGGAAACTATTATGTTAGAATTACATTCACAGTGTCTAGTCCATTTGTATTTGGCAACCTTGGAGAAAGGATTCCATTATCTATCTATCTTGGTGGGTCCAAAGTTCTTTACCTAAATCCCTTTTCTTATCATGCCTTTACCTCCTAGCTATCACAGTTTTCAATTACCAATTTTAGAATACCTGTTCACAACTTCCTCCAACCTTCATAAAACACCTTCTTAAACCCTCTAACCTTCATTCATCCTTTTTTGTTGTTTTGGTTTCAGTTTTTGGAGGCAAAGGTTCTCTGTGTAGCCTTGGCTATCCTGGACTCACTTTGTAGACGAGGCTGGCCTTGACCTCACAGTGATCCTCCTGCCTCTGCCTCCCTAAGTGCTTGGATTAAAGTCATGTGCCACCATGCCCGGCTTCATTTATCAATCTTAAAACACCTATTACTTAAATTTTCACATTCTCCTACCTTCATAACTTGCATTGACCATCCTTAAAGCATCTTCTTAGACCCTACAATACTTTCTTAGATCCTTCACAACTTAAACTTTTTATGTGAAACTGTAACTATCTAGTCTTCAACCCCATCAGAAACCTAAGAAGGATAAATATTACCAGAGTAGCCAGGAAGTGCAAAGCAAGCAGTTTCCAAAACTATAGAAATGACAGAGACAGCTGGCTGCCTGGACTGTCACTCAATGTTCCTCAGCAACACTGAAGCATCATCTTTGGCCTTCTGGCTCAGTATAGGATAGATTTTTCGGTGAAGCAGGAATTAGGACAGACTGACTACCTTGTTTTGGCAAAGCTTGACAATTGACTTCTTCCATGTCCTGCTTGTCCACAGCTCGGACAGCATGCTGTCAGCAGTTGAGGCAAGGGCAGTTTCTTGCACATTGGCCACCAGCTTTGCCATATTTGAAGCAAACTCCATATGAAGGTTCTTCAATGCCCATCATCTTCTTTGAAGTAAAATGGGGGTGCTGCAAGGAACTGACATGTCTCACTGTAAAAAAAAAAAAAAAAAAAAAAAAAGCTTTTTATTAATAAAACCTCTTTAAATGCCATATTCTGTAGATCCCTGAGGTTTTTGAAGACAGTCTATTATATATCAGAATAGGCAAATAGTGCTTGTTTCTAGCTATTACTATCTGTTCAACCTAAGACACATATTTCTGTAATTAACTAAACTAGTATCTAACGTGACCATGAGTTTTATTGACTGACTGCTAACTTGCATTACTTAATTATTCTAAACAGTTTATAACAGCAGCTTTCAAAAGGACTTGAACTTCTTGCATTATTAAATGAGTCACATAGACGCAATACCTTATACAAGAGTTGAAACATATTATAGCATATTGCAGCTAAATATAACCCTAAATATATATCAACATACAAAGTCCATATCAGATGTAAAATATTGAGTTGTTAATGCTCTTTAGTCTGAAAGTAGATTCAATAATCTACTTTATCCTATTCCTATGTCCCTCTCTTTTCTCTTTATTCCTTCTCCCCCCTTTTTCCTTTAACAGTAGAGATGAGAAGAAAAAAGCCTAAAGGAAAGAGGAAAAGAGATCTCTGACTCTAACCTCCTCTACTTTGTTTCCTCCCTGACCATGACCATTAACGACTTGCCACCGACCCCCTTTTTAATGACAACAATCATTCATCACCCACTGAATGACCAAAAGCCACCCATCCCAAATTTTTGGAATGGGGCATCATTTTCTTTTGCGGGCCATAAGAAAATTGGGATAAAGGCCAGGTCATAGGAGAGCTAGCTGTTTCTCTCGCTGTCCAGGCTCTGTGTGACAGGAAAATACAGGTTTTAGCTGAAGTACTGGTTAAAGCAGTCTATAAGGCTGGACCAACTGGGGTCAGCCACTTTGAAGCTGAAATGCAAAAATCATCAACAAAATCTAAGCTGAATCCAAGAGCATATTTAAAAGATCATTCTCTGGAATCTATCCGAGGGATGCAAATGGATCAAAGAAGATCTATTCATTTATTCATCAGGTGATCATCTCAAAAGATGCAGAAAAGCATTCAACAAAATCCAGCATCCCTTTGGGACTGAAAAATTCTAAATAAATTACGTATAGAAAAAAAATGCACCTCAATATAATAAGGGACACATATAATAGATCAACAGCTAATGCCATCCTGAAGGGAAAGAGGCTCAGTCTTTCATTTTAAGATCTGGAACAAGACTAAGAACCATCTTCTGTTTTCCTCTGCCATGTGTTCCCTCTGTTCACTCTACTATGCAGGAAATGGCCACTCCTGGAGGGGGTAGCCTCTTCTACACCCCCCCCCCACATATATATAATGGCTCTGGATATGGGGGATCCTAGAGGAATTTCCTTGGGTCAGAGGCAGCCCCAGGTGGGCTCAAGACCCAAAGATTTTCCTTCTCTTTCATGGTTTATGTCAGCTTATCAACCAATGACTATACAACTGGAAAACTCAGAACCCACTGTGCTCTGAAAAACCTCTTATCTTTCTGGAAACAGCCTTTTACACTCACCAGCCGACCTAGAATGACTCTCAATAGCTCCTGGCTTCTCTCTTCATGATGGAGGAGCTGGACAGAATCTGCCTTGAGAGTAAGAAGAAGCATCCTGGAGTCCAGTGGGGGATGGATGCCTGACACCCTATTGTTCTCCACCTTATTTTTTGAGGCAAGGGAGCTCTCTGAATCTGAAATATATCAACTGTGTAGACTGGATGGCCAGCAAGTTCCATAGATCTTCTTGTCTCTATGCCCCACAACACCCTGCTGTGAGATGCTTTTACGTGGGTGTCGGGGATTTGAACTCCAGTCCTTACACTTGCATGCAATTACTTTACCAGCTGAACCAAAAATTCCTGTTATAACACTTCAAAACAGATAACTGGCTTTTCTCAACTAAGTCATGTTGTGAGGTAGTCCACTACCTTCCAAGAAGCACAGGTCCACCCAAGAGGCCTTAGGGTCTGCCGCACTGCCTATAGCCCATAGTTCTCCTCTCATCTGAAACATGATTCGGGAGGGAAGCAGAAAGGATCTTAATTTCACTTTTAAAAAGAGCACCTGGTAGCCGGGTGTGGTGGCACACACCTGTAATCCCAGCCCTGAAGGCTGAGGCAGCAGGATTTGAATTTGAGATTTCCTTGGCTGTATATGAGACCTTATCTGAAGCAGCAACAAAAAAGAATATCTGTTAATATAATTGGAAACATTACATCTTAATAAAATATAGTTACCTAATAGTTATAACTTATTTCAAACCTGTAACAGTGTGACCCTTACCCTGTTTGTTGTACTTCTATTTCTTTGAAGACACCTCCTTCTAATAACACAGCAGTATATATTTCATTAAGAGTCAAATACACACATATTTCTACCTGATCTTTTCTTCTGGATTTAAGTCCCACGTACAAGTCACCTATAATTATTTCCATTGAAAATCTCATAAGTACATTACAAGCCCATCCCTATTCGCTTTCAAAAGTATTTCATTCCATTTGGCCTAAGCAGGGAGTGAGCCAGGCTATGGTGTCAAATAACCTACCCTCAGGCCCCAGAGCCGCCCTCTTCACACTGACCTCCCGGAAGCTGAACTCTAAACATTTCTGTCTGAATCACCTCCTTTTGTTTTAGGAACAAGGTGTTCAGATCTGCCTCCAAGCAGAACAGAGAGAGCGTCATAGCACATGAGTAGGAGGCCAAGGTGGGAACTTATGCACTGGCTCTTCAAGTTTCTCCTTGGGAAATGTGTAGAATTTCTACTGTTTAATGGGCCGAAGCAGGTGATAAGCCTACATTTAGAATTGAGAGGTTTGTGGAGGTTTCTCACATGGAAGTGGTGACTTTCACAGGCTTTTGCAGATGCCAGTCAATTCTAGGCTTGGAGGAGACTGTGAATGGACAAGACAAAGGGGTTGCAGAGAAAGCAAAGGACAATCGAAGATTTGCATGAAAAAGCAAAAATATGGTGCTTCATGGAATTTAGATTTATATCTGTGTAAGTGTTCTAGAAATACTTCACGCTCAAGACAGCTCAAGGGAGCAGTTTGCTTGTTAGAGAAGACCTATACACAGGAGAATCAGGGTGAAAACCTATGTTTGTTCCATAAGGAATCCAGGGTAGGAGGGGAGGGCACAGGAGAAACGAGCAGAGGTCATTATGAAGGTCAGTTGGAGACCACACTGGTTTTCGTGAGTGGTTTAACCTCCGAGATAGTTTAGCAACAAAATGACCCGAGCTGACTGGCACATTGGAAAAGCATTGGCTAAAGTACAGCTCCTTCCTCCTCCCCTTCACCATCCAGCTCAGTCATTCTTTAGCGGCATGGGTCATTGAAGGAATCTGCCCTGCAACGGAGGAAATTGGAAAGTGTGATTTCTACACAGACACCAGGTGTTCTCACAAGCCCCTCTTCAGCTGGCTTTCCGGGCAGACATAAGCCTAGGGTATCGGTGTTCCTGCTCCGCCCACCGCATCAGGAAACAGCTCCACCACGAACTGTCTTTTAAACATGTACACTAATTTCCATGTGACTGGGAAATGCTTTAAGCTGGGCACTTCGACAACAAAACCAACCAGCTTCCTCATACTTTCGGGGAACTGCTCCACCAAACTGAATACGTTGATAACAAGGCCTTTTTTTTAAAACCAATTTATCACTAATTTATCAGTATTTTGGTCCCTCCGTCCTTATGAGACAATAGGCTATCTTCACCAAAACTAACCAAAAGGTGGTCATTGTGATAGCATTATTGTTTCTAGCCATATTAAAATGAAGAGTTCAAAACTGACTGGGGACTGGAGAGCCACTTCTTTTTTTTCAGTGGCCTTCTTTGTCTTTGGGGAAATATAATTGACCATCAATATAATGCCTAGAAAAAAAAAAAAGACACAATCCGAGCACTTGGGAGGCAGATCTGTGAATCTGAGACCAGCCTGGCTTACAGAGTGAGTTTCAGGATAGACAGGGCTACACAGTCTTGAAAAAAAAAAGTAACTTGTCTATAATCCTATAATCTGAATATTTGGAATTCATATTAACCAGTCGACATTCTCCCATTTTTATTTTACAGTTGCTCACTGCATCACATGCTCTTCTGTGTCACCTTAGAATTAATACTCAGAAGGTGCAAGATTAATGTTCTATTGTCTTGCCTTCTGCCCTGCAGGGATAAGATGCTGAGATTGTTTCTACACCCCTAACTTAGGCCTTATGTAATCCCCTCCCCGTGAATGGCTGATTTACCTTCAATAGTGTGTCAGCATTCTGCCACTGTGACAAATACCTGGGCTAAATCAACTTTAACTATTTTGACTCAGAATTTCAGAAACTGCAATCCCTGGTCACTTGGCCCTGCTGCTTTGGGGCTGTAGTGGCACAGTACCTTGTGGTGGGAGGCCTTTAACCTCGTGGCATCCAGGAAACAAGTAGGGGGAAAGAAGGGAGGGGGCAGACAGAGGAAGGAGCCAGAGTCCCACTGTTCCACCAAGGGCCCTTTCACCTAGAGGTTCTACCATCTCCCAAAAGCACCACCAGCTGGAAGACAAGCCTTTGACATACTGGCCTTTGGAGAGCATTCAATGCCCAAACCATAACAGCCATGCGACAGAGTGAGCTAAGTGCCATGGCTGTGTTACATATGATTACATCTCTCTTCAAAGGAGATTTGTGTGTGTGTGTGTGTGTGTAAGTATTTTGGCAAGGCCCTGTTTACAGGGAAGAGAAGTTAGCTTCACACTGTTACCCATCAAGAAACCTAGGTCTCTGTCTAGCAAGGTAGCAGAAATTCAATTCTATCACCAGTCACAAGCTTGGAAGCAGATCCTCATCCAATCAGGCCTTGAGAGGGGGGTCAAGACCCTCACTACACATTGAATACAACTTCCAGATGAGAAATGAACTGTGTCTACCTCAGTAAAGCTGAGTGCAGACCCCCAGCCCTTTTAGAAACTCAACACGCATGTGCTGTATTCGGCTGATAAACTTGTAATATTGATATACAACCACTAATATTACATTTCTATTTGGCTTCTAGTTGTCTTGGCCCTCAACTTCTCTGTCCTTGATTAAATCCCTGAGGCCTTCTCTAGGGCATACCACTCCCTCATACTCCCAAAACTGATGTTCCAGCACGACATTGGTCTTGACACCTAACTACCGCTGGCAGGAATTGTGAAAGGTGGCAGTTGAGCCAGGAGCATAACATTTTGCATCTATACTGTCCCTCCTGAGGACGCTGTCCAGACAGCAATGAGTTTCAGGCCATCCAGGTCCTATGTCCCTTACTGGTGTCTAGTCTCCAGGTCACTCTCTGGGGCTGAAGGCTTCATACAGATTGTGCTCTTGAATGAAAAGCAATACCAATTCAGTCTCCATGGGAGTCAATTTTAACTTTGCTTTCTCTTTTTTTTTTAATTATTTTTTTTAATTTTTATTTTTATTAATTACAATTTATTCACTTTGTATCTCCCCTGTAGCTTCCTCCCCCAGTCCACTGATATGGGAGGTCTTCCTCCCCTTCCTTCTGATCCTTGCTTTCTCTTCTTAAAACTAGTTATGTATTATGTTACAGTTGTGAAGCTGGGTCACCTTGTGGGACTCCTAACAGTGGGAGCAGGGGCCGTCTCTTACTCTTTTGCCCGCTTTTGGGACCCTTTTCCTCCTGCTGGACTGCCTCGTCCAGCCTCGTCCAGTCAATAAGAGAGGAGGTGCCTAGTCTTACTGTAACTTGAAAGGCCATGGTTAGTTGACATCCGTGGGAGCCCTGCCCTTTTCTGAAGAGAAATGAAGGGTTGCAGAGGTGGGCAGGTAGAAGGGAGGGGCTGGGAGGGAGAGAGGAGGGGAAACTGTGGTTGGGATGTAGAAATAATAATTTTAGAAACAGAGAAAGCTGGGTTGTTTCTACTTCCAAAAGATGCAGAAGACAGGTGTGAAGCCCTGGCATCCTGTGCACTGGACCTTGTTTACTCACTAAATTTATGAACAAAATTTTAAAATTAAATATTTTTTTTTTCTAAAAAATACAAACAAAGAAAAAAAAACCCGAAAAACCCTAGTTCTCATAGCTAAAAAGGAAAATCTTAGCTTATCTCTGAAATCCCCTTTAAGGCTCACTCTTGAAACTGAGACATTTTTAGCTTTGCCTGTAAGCCTCCTATCAGCTTGGTTATGTCCCTCTAGGCTCTCAGGCACTCTCTTACACAAATATGTCAGTGGGAAAATACGTGCTTTTACATCACAAAAAGATGACACATTGGTTGTAATTCCTCATCTGTAAAGTAATTTCAGAACCCAAAAGTATCCTGGGGATCCATTGTTGGTTCATATAGTTCATTCTGTGTGTTAGCTGTACGCCGAGTCCTGCTGTACATGCATGTGTGTGTTTACAGACACATGGAAGCCAGAAGACATCCTCAGGCGTCATTCCTTAGGGTGCCACCCCACCCCACTTCGGACATGGTTTCTCACTGGCCTGGAACTCATCCTTTGGCTGGACTTTGAGTAGCGTACCCCAGAAATCTGCTTGTCTCTGCCTCCCTAACTCTGACATTCTGAGTGTATGCCACCACAGTTACCTCTCACTCGCTTCCTTTCAGTCCTTTATGGCACTGTTGGCACTATTGGCACTGGTGGGCATTTCTGTGACATCTACTTGTTTGGGCCATGGGATATGATTTGGATTTTAAGACGACAGATTCTTTCCTCAGGGACCTGTGCCAATCTTCAGGTTCACCAGCAGGTGTGCATTGCCTAGTATAAGGTATAAGGTTCTCTCTCTCTCTGGTTTTTTGAGACAGGGTTTCTCTGTGTAACCTTGGCTGTCCTTGAACTCACAGAAGTCTACCTGCCCCTGCCTCCCTGAGTGCTGGGCATGTGCCACCATGCCCAGCGGACTTTCAACTGTTCTGACAAGCCCATCTTTATCACATTAAACTCCATCACCTGCCCAGCGTGCGGTGTTTGTAAGCTCCAGTTCTGCTGAGTCTGACAGCATCACACCGTCTTACTTATCTCCATGGATTCACAGGGGTTCTGCGTCTGTTTAAAGCACCTGCCACCTCAAACGGGCGACATCTCTGCTTCCAGTGCATACCCAGGCTGAGGGCTAACTTCTAGCCCTTGAACTCAGCTGAGGAGTAAAGAATGCCAACGTGGTTATGCATGGATTCATATCTTCTCCATTCTCAACATCTCCTCACTATTTTCTGACCTTTACATTAACAACAACAACAACAACAAAATCCACCTAGACACCAATTAATGTAACTGCTGTTTATTAGAAAGAGCAGAAAATGCCGGATTCGGGCCCCCGGGGCAGAACAGAGCACAGCTGGCAGTGAGCACTCGCTCAGCACAAGCACTTGTTGCCCCACTTGGCCATCTTGTTATTGATTGGCAGCTTGAAGAGGTCAGACTGCAGGCACGCAGCAATCTTCTCTAAAGCCTGAAGGGAAAACACACCAGGTCTGGTTAGGACCTCCAGCCCAGGAGACCCACTCCAAAACACTGTCATTCACGTATTGTTTGCCTTCACCTATTTCTTTCTGCTTCTGCTTTCAGGGTTAAAAGCCGGGATCTTCCTAAGACCTAAGATCCCAGAGGTGTCTAACCATTGATCCATTTAGGCAGAAGCTGCTGTTGGGCAAGTCCCATGGGGCCTACAGGGTGTATGGAGCCTACACAGAGTTCTTTGAGAAAGGGATAGGAAACATCACCTCAAAACGGCACATGAAAGCCTTCAGATTTGGGAACTCATCCAGGCACTTAGGCTCAAACATACGGTTCTGGTCTAAAACATCATAGGTGAGGAAGTCCACAAAGGTAAGCTAAAATGAAGACAATGAGATTTCAGGTCTGAGAAGTTCACCAATGCCTGCAGAGACAGACAGACATCCTCTCCCTGTGTCTTCTTCCTACCTTTTCCCCTGCAAACCATGTGTATTTCCCCAGGAACATTGAGAATTGTTTCAGCTGTGAAGGTAGCTTTTCCAAGTACTGAGGCTTCAGGCTTTCCTAAGAGGGAAAAAGAGCAAATAGCTGTTCTTGGGTCAACAAGATGGTTCAACAGGAGTGAGCAGTGTTTGATTCTCAGGTCCCACACTGTTGTCGTCTTTGAGCCTCTACACTTGTATTGTGTGCTTGCATGTTCGCTCTCTCTCTCATACACACACACTAGCTGACAATGTAGTCAAGGCCTGTACCAGCGGCGGACACACCAGATCCTTCTCTAGGCAACTTCTTTCTGCCTACACATGGAGGAGGCAGGATGGGGAGCTGGGCTTTGGAAAGGAGGTGGAACTAACAGCAGAATTACAAGACAAAGTGAACCAAAAGATACAGAGTCTGTTTCCAATCCTACGGTTTGGGTTGATGGAAAGATGGCAATTGCAAAAGGGGGCAGAATAATCCTTGGTACTTTTGCTTGAAACCCAACACAGGTGACACCCGATAAGGAAACCTACGTGCTCAGAATTGTAGCAGAGCTGAACCAGCTGCATGCGGAAGTCCATTATCTGGTTCTCCATGATGTCCACTCGGATCTTTTCTTCTTCAGTGTCACCACCTGTAGCCAGATGGCAATAGATCAATCACCCTTGGGATCGCCTACCTCCAGGTGAGCAAACCGCCTCGCCTCTCACATCAGCTTCAACGCACTCACACATGTTGTGCTTGCGTGCGATGTACCGCAAGATGGCGTTACTCTGGGTGAGCTTGTTCTTCCCGTCCACAAGGTAGGGCAGCTAGAAGGGCAAAACCAAAGAGTGAACCATGCACTAGCGCGGTCTCGCCTCTTCCACTCTTCTGGGAAAGAGGAGACTTGCAAGGCAGTGAACATGAGAGAGTACAAACTAGGAGAAAGTACAGAATAAACAGAATCTAGGATGAGGCCCTCACCCAATTATAGACAAGGGTCCTTAACCCTGTGTGTCAGCATGTGTGTGGCAAATGTAGACTTTCTGAGAATACTTTTAAAAAGCAAATTAAATATTTTTAAGTAAAGCTGTAAGAGTAGTGCACTTAACAGGATACGTTAAAGAGCATTTGTTTTAGCAACCATGACACTTAAGACACTGGGACACATTTAGGATACTATGAAAATACCTGGTATCTATCAGTGACAAAGTCGTGCACCTTGCTAGAAACCAGTGTCTCTTACAGCCTGTCTTTATGAGACAGGAAAATGTTAGTGTTTGATAGTCGTTGTGGGGATTAAAATGTTATTCTCCCTCTTGTGCAGCGGCCCTTGAATTCTATCCATTGTATCCACATGAATAGCCTCTATTACTAGATTCTCAAACCAGAGGTGAAGGAAGTAAGGACAGATACACTCAAAGGCCTTGCCTTCTGCCCACTCGTCCAAAGCCACCTACATTAGGAAAATCCAGATCTAGCTTGAATTTCACGTCCAGCCATTGGCTTCTGTCGTAGTCAGGAGCTGTAAAGAGAGAAGCGGGACTCAACCCCTTTACCAACCTACCTGAGAAACGACTGAGTCCTGATACCTCAAGTTCCCAATCGCCAAAATCCAACCCCTGAGTTTCTGCAGCCTACATATTAAGATGGGCTTGGACAGCAAGTGGGAAACCCCAAGGATGGGCCTTGCTTGGCAGTTCCTCGCAGACTGGAACAGGGGTCCCACCTGACCTCGGTGTGGGGCTCCCCTCTGGGTAAAAGACGACTGCAGGGCCACCCTGGCCCAGTGCGGAGGGCCACCAGCACCCACAGACATTACCTTCCCCACAAGTGTATTGTTTCTCCTCATAGCAGGTATCAGTAAACTCCAGGAGCAAGCGGATGGCATGAGCCAGCTAAAGGCAGCAGGATGGAGAAAGACCCCAGTCAGCGCGCCTGCGCGGTGCCCGCCTGCTCGCCCTAACAACCCGGCCCCGTCAACGTCCCCAACCCAACGCTGCCAAGCCCCTGTGTCCTGTGGAGGGACCGGGAACGTCAAGTTAGCTCCTCTCCCCACGAGCCTGGGGAGCCCGTAGGATGGCTGGAGATGGGTCCCCGAGGGCAGTTTAGCTGACGCCCGCAGCAGGGAGGCGGCCTCTGCCCCAGCTGCAGCCCACCGGTCCCGACCCCCAGCCTGACCCGCTGCATTTCTCTGTCAAAAGCTGATGAGGGGCCACTCACCCCGCGGATATCCCAGTAACCCAGAACCATAGACGACGTCTTAGACGACATAGTGGTGGGCGATCTGAGCCCCTTCGGAGATATGGAGACAAGGCTCCAACTTTATACCGGACGCTGTGGGTGGGGCCAACGTGACGGACTGGCTCCTCCTGCCTCGCTCCTTGCTCCACCCGCCCTCCGAGTGGGCGCTCGGCCACGCGCACGCGCAGCTGCTGTGGCTCGTGAACGTTGGTGTGAACTTCATCCCGGACTGCTGATGTTTCCACACTTCCGCTGTAGGGACTTGGACCTTGGGGAGCGTGTCATGCCGCATAATGAGCTGACACTGGTCAGCGAAAGTCGGAATTCTGACTACAAGGGAGCTGCTGCCTTTGGCTCCCTTGGTGGGACGTGTGAAGGGCTGAAAAGGAAAGCGCGATAAACAACAACAACAAAAAACCTAACACATCACTTAGACACATAAAACTGTGAAGCAGGAAATGATTCAGGTATAAGGCAACACCTAAAGTACTTGGAGGGTAGAGATATTTTCTACCCATGATACAAAGGGGCTCTGTGAAGACCCTGAGCAGAGGCCGTGGACCCTGAGCAGAGCCACTGAGAAAAAGGATAGGTCATGCACATTGGAAATGCCTCAGAAGACACTCCAGGAAGGAGGAGAGTAGAGCAAACACTGAAAGGTGGAAAATAGATAAGTAAGACAAACAGCAGGTGTTGTTGAGATAGGATGGTTTATAAGGTTGTGGTAGAAGGAGATATAGAAGTTAAGAGTTTGGGGCTAGGTTACAAAGGGTCTTGACTACCAGAAAGAGAATTTGAGTGTTTTCTGCCTACTCTGGGGAATGTATAGAATCTAGATAATAATATCTACTAGAAGCATAATGCGGGGGGACAGGGACTGTCTCTGGTATGAACTCTGCAGCTAGCTCTTTGTCCTTCCCCGCCCCCGTGGGAGAAGCAGCCTAGCTAGGCCACAGAGGAGGACATTGCAGCCAGTCCTGATAAGCTAGGGTCAGGTGGAAGGGGAGGAGGACCTCCCCTATCAGTGGACTTAGCGAGGGGCAGGCAGGAGATGAGGGAGGGAGGGTGGAATTGGGAGGGAATGAGAGAGGGGGCTACAGCTGGGATACAAAGTAAATAAACTGTAATTAATATAAAAAATAGAAAGTTAATAGAAACAACGACAAAAAGAAGTATAATGCAAGACACACCTGATTTTTTAAATACTTTTCTTCCAGTTAAAGAGGCTGTGTGTGTGAATCCGTAATATATTTTTTAGTCCAATATATACAGTTTCAGAATATGATATGAAGTGTTTGTTTTAGCACCTTACACTTAAAACGCACCTCCACAAAGGATAACCTCATTCTTATGCTCATGAGACACATAGGCCTACTCAGAGACCAGTACAGATCTGGATGCTTTGCTGAGATGAGTGATACTGCCAGGATTTTCTTCAGAACGCTGAGCTGGCTTCTTCCTGTAGAATGGGCTGGAGGATGGAAGTCCTGCCATTTTTCATTTGCTTTACTGTCCATCAGTGTTTATTAGTCCCTATTATGGGTAATACTGTTTCAGATGCTGGGGTCCTGGAACTGAAATCAGCAGACAAAGGTTCTTACTCTGGGGGAGGAATTTACATAATAAAGGGGAGAGGCAGAAACAAAGAAATATCCGTGTATAGGAAGTCAGAGAATGATACACATACTCTGGAGTGAAACAGTAAGGAACTATCGTACAGGGAGTGGGGGTTCGTGGGTGGAGGCTCCAGTAGGGAGAGGACTTATTATATTAGAGAATGTGGGCATGTATGTGTGTCCTAGTGAGATGTTCACTCTCCTGCAGACGGTTTCTGGAATCAGGCTACTGTGCTGGTGCAAGAGGCAGAGAACTCCAGCAGAGAAATGCCAGCATACAGGGAGGCATCACTATATAGACAGCATGTAAAACTATGCGATCACCATGGGAGTGACAGCCACAGACAAGAGACAAGGTGTGTGGGCTTGAACTGCTGTGGCACAACGCTTAGAAGCTGGGGGGGGGGGGATGAGAAAGAACCAGAGAATGAGTCTGAAAGGGTGGCTGGAGTGGCGAGAGGGAAGCCAGGTGTCCTGGAAACCGAGGGAAGACACTGGGAGGCCAAGCCACATCAAATGCGGCTGACAGGTCACGGATTACGAAGTCTGGGGATTAACAGTTGGGTTTAGAGACATAGGCATTATAGTTCCTGTGAGACAGTGTAAGATTTGGGGGATGCTCGTGCAGCATCAGGAAGAGCCAAGCCTCTGTGTTCATTCATGGCTCATGACTGAAAACTGAGCGGAGACTTGTAACACTGTCAGTGCTGGGCAGGGGAGAGGCTGTGTGAGCTGGAGGAGTGGTGACTGGGGGAGTCCAGAGTTGCTCTGCTTACCCTCCATAGCACAGCTCTCCAGGACTCCCAGCACCTAATCTCTGCGCCCGGGAGAGAGTGTGGAGTATCATGTTTTAGTTTAGCCGAATCAAACTTCAGACTTTGTAAAAGGACATTTTGCTAAAAAGAAGGACATCAGTATGGAGATGCGTGACTCTGTAATGCCTGGGTTTATTCCTTCCAAGGAAACAAAAGCCAGTGACAATTAACCTGAGGCGGGAGTCTAAAACGTATAAAGCATTCTAACATGTCAGGCATTGGTCTAGGTGTTTCGCCTGTTAGTTAATATATTCTACTTCAGGCTAAGTAACTTTGTGAAAGCAAGTGTTCTGCTCACTTTATAGAAAAAGGAACTGAAGGCTGGCTGATCCAGGATGCGGGTGGAGGATGGCCTAATACTTCACTCTTGCTGGCTCCACTGTGCTTTGAGGCCTTTTCGCCTCTTACCCTTGCCATGGTCTTTGCTATGAAATCAGAGGAACACTAGGATAGAATGTATTTTTTTTCTAATCCTGTAGGTTTCCCCTGGTTTTCAGCTCTAAGCTAGTTTGCCCCGTCAAGAAGCCTTTTTTTTTTCCCCTTTTCCTTTTCCCTCTTTCTTAAAGAATCGGTTTTTGCTTTCATACTTTGTGTTACCAGCTACAAGAGATGAGTTTGTGAGGCCAGGAAGTTGAGCGAAGGATAAAAACTGTCTGAAAATAAGGCATTCAGCTCCAGACGACGTTTCGAGGTCTTGGATAAACTCAGCCAAAAGGGATTTCCTGGAGCATTTTTTAAATGGTATATAAACTATTAACAGCAAAGGCCCAATGACTCATCTCCTCTAGGATACACCCTCAATACAGCCCCAGTGGCCAGTGGCTTTGTTGTGCTGACCTCAGACATGAAGGCCTCAAAAGTGGCCCACCATGAGTTCTAATCTTTTCCAGGTCCTCGCACAGCTTGTTGTCTAGACCATTGGCCAGAACCCGGCTGCACTTTCCATCCTTCACATCTTCTGTCTGTTCAAAAGAACCAGTCTGGGTCCTCGTACTGCCTCGGATTCTGCTTGGTGGTGATCACGAGTTCTTGCCTCGTCCTCCATGAGGTCTCCAGCCGTCTTGGTGAGGTCAGTGTCTGCTCTCCTCAACAACACATAAGCATATCTCCGTGCCACACCCTTAGTGGCAGTAGTCTCCTGCCCATGGATGTTGGTTCTGAGTACTCGAAAAGTATGCTGGAACTTCTCAGGGATCACTAGAGACATGGTGGTGGCCCAAGTGGCGCCATGTAGGCCCCCTGTGGAAGAACTCCTGGACCATCTCAAGAACCTACTAGGGGCTCCTGAATCCACCAGAACATCAGACCTTGTCTGTAGAGTGGATCAATGAAAGTACAACTTCTCTTCCATGGACAGAGATCCAGGGAGAGAACTGACTTGCCTGACTTCACCACAGTGGACTCAAGGACTTTCACCTGCCAGTGTAATGGCTCTGTGTTCTGCCACTGAATTGATGGGGAGGAGGAAGCTCAAGGTTGACTGCCTGAAAGAGGAAGTTCCCATCGAGAGCACAGGGCACCTCGCTTATTTGTTCTAGCTCCTCTGGGTCGCCAGCCAGTGTAAGCAAAGCCCACAGAGAATTCTTTGCTTTGGTGCCATGCTGTGCCTTCAGCTGTACTAGGAGCTTTGGATTAGACTGGGAGCCATGCCCATAGAAGGACAGCAGTGGTGCCTGTGGCCTCATTTTGGAGTTTATTTAGAGAGGAGAAAGAGAGAGGAGAGTGGACCAGCATCCCAAAAGGCGTCTTTTCAGCTCCAGGTTGCAGTGAGTTCTCTCTCAGTCAGTCTGACCAGTAATAGTTGTAGGGTTGTTGTTGTTTCATGCCCAGTATCCCAGCTCTCTGCTCCCTCCCTTTGGTTCCCATCAGGTCCAGAAGAAATGGCAAGGGGAGGGGCCTATCACAGGCTTGAAGATGCTTTTTATTGAAGAGACTAGGAATAAGTACGCCAAGCTTAGGATGGGGGTAAAATAAATAGTAACTGGAGACAGGCTCCAACCCAAAAAGGGTACCATTTGCCTGGATGCCTGGGCCTGTTCATCTTTGCTGTGTGATCTGGGATAGTGTGGTTTGCCACAAACTGAAAGAGGACTTCCGAGGGATCTAAGCGGGTACCAGATACTACATCTTGCATATAAGTAGTCCTTGGTTTTGGAGGTATTTGAGGTGGTCTCTAATGACTCATCTAAAGGAAGAAAAAAAAAATTCAGATGGAGTTGCTTTCAAGTGAAGGGTCCCCAAAGTTGATGTCACCAATACGATGAGAGCTTCAGGACACACCTAAACGGATGAAGCTCAATCCCCAGAGGGATAACCCATGCCTAGTGTCCCCAGCTCTATTTCTCAAAACCTCTCAATGGGAGTGAGGTCCCCAGGGCTTCCTCACCCCCAGCATCCTTCTGACAGCATCCAGCCGGGCCTGGATTCGTGGGGCCTCCTGCGGACACAGCATCTGCAGCTCCCCGGGTCTCATGTGAAGTAGCTGGCTCCCCACTAGGGACCCAAGAGTCCTTACAGTGCTGTAAATAACAATGGTGGAATCCACCAGAGTTAGGATGGGCGGGTGCTAGGCCTTAGTACTTGTGTAGAGAAGAAACATTGGGGTTACAGGAATTAGGTTATCTGCAGGAATAAGCCCACTGGGTTTGGCCTCAGTGTGTTACAGAACTCTTAGGTTTGAGAGCAGAAA